CCTTTTTATAAAAAATGGGGCAATACACACAAACGGTTTATGTTTATGCATTATTGTTATTGTAATTTGTCTGGGACAAAATGGCGTAAACATAATATGCACTGAAGGTAAGTAAGAAGTTATTACTTAAAGAAACATGTATGAAAAACAATATGTTCCATTTCCAACACCTTGTCAGTTTGCAATATCTCTTAAAGAGAGTTTGAGGACACAGTTTGAGGAATACAATTTTTGCATTTGCCCATAACAATGTTAACATTGGGTATTTCTAAACTCAGGACAAAATTAAGAAAATATTATATACCTTACATATACAATGTAACTTGCGTTAATTTTGAAAAAAAAAGTCCCTCAAATTATAATTAATAAAATCAAATAATTATGTAGTTAATAGTTAAATATATATGTAGAATGTGTGTGGGTGTATATATACAATTTTTTAGAAAAATTTGTACTGTATTATATATATAATACATGTGTTTGTGTGTGTATATATAGATATCCATTTTACTCAGGAGGAGGCTCAAGCAGTTATTTGGGTGCAATCCAGCAAAGATTTACCACATAGTGTCACATGTAAAGATGTATATTTTCATCTTTTAAAATTACACAGGAAACGGATAGATCTTGATCTGCATGGACTGTTTTTATCAAATTACTACAAAGCCAGAAGAATTCCACGAGGTTTTCGAATAATGAATATACCAACAATTGGGAGAACAAAAGCGAAGGTGTGCAGGGACTGGATAGCGGTCCTTAACAAGGCATCATTGGATCTCATGATAATCATAATACAAGATGTAAAAAATGATCTGGAGATTATCACATGCAAAATAACAGATGTGGAAATGGAACATGCTATCTTATTATCCACCCCAGACAGTGTGAAACTACAGGACAAATTAAAAGAAGAGTTGTTGAAGTATAAAAACGACCTCATTAAATTTAAGAAACAGAAGTTTGAGTACGTACAACAGGATTATTTAGAGCATAGGGTTTATAAATGGCTAAGCAGAGAACAACATCGGAGACCCAGAAGGCCACGTAAGAAAATAGTGCTCCCAAAGGCATATACTATTGACATGACCTCGGCTGAATCTGCCTCTAGCAACTCTAGCAAAACAAAGAAACAACAGCAATTGATACATAGGAGGCAAAAGTTCCTAGCATGTGGATACAATGATAGAGTCCTGGAAAAAGCGTTGGAAGAAGCACAGAGTGCGCCCATGCCAAAGGACTCCACTGCTCCAACTAGGATAACTTTCCCTATGACATTCCACAACCAAGCAACTAAAGTGTCCAAGATAGTGACAAAGAACTGGAACATGCTGGCATGTGACGACACACTGCCAAAAGTATTTAAGGAACCCCCTAGGATATGTTATCGTAGAAATAGAAATCTTAAAGATATACTGGTGAAGACCAACCAGGAGGATAGCTATTTACAACAACAGAAGCCACAAGCAAGAGGATGTATCCGCTGTTTGGGATGCGTAACCTGTGGACATATGGTGCCCTCGAGGAAATTCAATCACCCACATACAAATAAGGTCTACAGCATTAAGCATACCATCACCTGTAAAACGTCCCACGTAATTTATAAAATATCGCGTCCCTGTGGTTTATTATATACTGGAAAGACTGAAACACAATTATGTGACCGACTTAGGGGACCCCGATCGAATATAAGGACAGCCTACAGGGATGGAGGCACCGATAAACCGGTGGCAAAGCATTTTTTGGAAAACAAACACCCTCTTGCTACGTTGAAATTTGTGGCAATAGATCACATACCACAGTTGACTGTCTCCCCTTCCAATAACCTGTTGTTAAGGAGAGAGACTTTTTGGATACAAGAGTTGAACACGGTAGCACCCAGTGGTTTAAACGAGATGATATCATATTATCTGTTTATTTGAAAGTTACAATGATTGCTGGCCTCCTATATTATGTTTTTATCAGAATTTTTTAATATACAGATGTAAAATGCCCATAATATGTTAGTAATATTGAGTATGTATAAATTCAGAAATATGACAGTGACTAGACATAATACAATATTACGTAATCCACTTCACATTATAATGACCTGTAAAGGTTTTATACTTAAACGGCTAGTTAATAATAAGGGATTGTTGTAATCAGACACCGGATGCCGCTTCTGGGAGACCAACTCGTAGGGGAGCGGGTAAGACAAGTTGAGTACCTCGTAGAAAGGGAACTGAGCCTGGACGCCTCATACCAGGCACTGTGGTGGTGCACCGTCCAGCCAGAGACGTGGAGGGCAGAGGGCATCCAGCCAGAGGGGGAGAACTACACTAGCCCTGGCCTGTTGTGGAAGACATTAGCGGAAGACGTCAACTTCGGCAGTCCAGCAGAGTCACGGTACTGGGCTATCTTGCATTACCGGGGATGTTACAGGGCCCGAGATCTATTGGACTGGGAGAAGACCTCCGCCGTTTCGCTGCCATGGAATGAGAGCTGGAGATGGACTATGTGGAACTACTAAACTCGTGTCAGCCGCAGAGCATGGATGCAGAACGGGAAAACTGGGTGGCGGACCCAGACCTGCCAGCCTACAGTTGGGAAAACGCGGACGAGGTACCCCCTGCTTCACTACCAGCTGCAGAAGTAGGAGACCTCATAGACTGGTCCTGGAGAGACCCACAGATGCCAGGTGGAGATGGGACCGAGATCTCTCTACCGGCTCTACAGGGATGCTGGGCAGTCGGCCCAGATCCATAGCGGCAGAGTACATTACAGGGAGGAGAGACCACCGGTTTCACTCCCCAGCAGCAGAGCGCATTATTGGAAGGGGAGACAGTCGGTCTCACTTCCCAGCAGCAGTATGGGTTACTGGGAGAAGAGACAGTCGATCTCCCTCCCAGCGGCTGAGTATGTTATTGGAAGAGGAGACGGTCGTCTCACTTCCCAGCAACAGTGTGAGTTCCAGGGAGCCAAGGGTGCCGTCCTTCCTCCCCAGCGGCTGAGTATGTTATTGGAAGGGGAGACGGTCGGTCTCACTTCCCAACAGCAGCACGAGTTATAGACAGTTGGTCTCTCTCCTCAGTGGCAGAGCGTATTACAGGAAGGGGAGACAGTCGGTCCCCCTCTCCAGCATCGGAGAGAGTGTCAGGGAGAGGAGCCGGTTACCACCTCTCCCCAGCGGCAGCTTATTCCCCAAAGGGGAGACCTTATTCTCCCAGATGGGGCAGATGGGACCGTGGTCTCTGCACGCGGTCTACAGGGGTGCGGGACAGCCTGCCCAGATCCCCAGCAGAAACATAGAAACCTAGAATGTGACGGCAGATAAGAACCATTCGGCCCATCTAGTCTGCCCAATTTTCTAAATACTTTCATTAGTCCCTAGTCTTATCTTATAGTTAGGATAGCCTTATGCCTATCCCACGCATGCTTAAACTCCTTTACTGTGTTAACCTCTACCACTTTAGCTGGAAGGCTATTCCATGCATCCACTACCCTCTCAGTAAAGGAATACTTCCTGATATTATTTTTAAACCTTTGTCCCTCTAATTTAAGACTATGTCCTCTTGTTGTGGTAGTTTTTCTTCTTTTAAATATAGTCTCCTCCTTTACTGTGTTGATTCCTTTATATATTTAAATGTTTCTATCATATCCCCCCTGTCTCGTCTTTCCTCCAAGCTATACATGTTAAGATCCTTTAACCTTTCCTGGTAAGTTTTATCCCGCAATCCATGAACCAGTTTAGTAGCCCTTCTCTGAACCCTCTCTAAGGTATTGATAAGCCTTCTATGTGCAACAGTGTCAAAAGCCTTACTGAAATCTAGGTAAGCAATGTCTACTGCACCACCCTGATCTATAATTTTAGTTACCCAATCAAAAAAATCAATAAGATTAGTTTGGCATGATCTCCCTGAAGTAAACCCATGTTGTCTCTGATCTTGAAATCCATGTGTTTTTAGATGTTCATCAATCCTATCCTTTAACATGGTTTCCATCACTTTCCCCACTACTGAAGTAAGGCTTACTGGCCTATAGTTGCCCGACTCCTCCCTATTACCTTTCTTGTAAATGGGCACAACATTCGCTAACTTCCAATCTTCTGGGACTACTCCTGTTAACAATGATTGGTTAAATAAATCTGTTAATGGTTTTGCTAGTACACCACTAAGCTCTTTTAATAGCTTTGGGTGTATTCCATCAGGTCCCATTGACTTATTTGTCTTTACTTTTGACAGTTGAAATAGAACCTCTTCCTCTGTAAACTCACGTGTAATAAATGACTCATTTATCCTTTTTCTCAACTGAGGTCCCTTTCCTTCATTTTCTTCTGTAAATACAGAACAAAAATATTCATTGAGGCAGTCAGCTAGACCTTTATCCTCTTCTACATACCTTCCTTCTTTTGTTTTTAATCTAACTAATCCTTTGTTTTACTTTTCTTTTCTCATTTATGTATCTAAAAAATGTTTTATCCCCCTTTTTTACTGACTGTGCTATTTTCTCTTCTGTGTGTGATTTGGAAGCTCTTATAACTTGCTTAGCCTCTTTCTGCCTAATCTTATAGATCATTTTGTCTTCCTCACTCTGTTTTTTTATAATTCTAAATGCTAACTTTTTGTTTTTAACTATTTTGGCCACATCTATGAGAGTACCACAGTGGTTTCTTTTGAATTCTTTTTGTTTTTACTGACAAGCCTAATGCAATTTTCTTTTCGCCTTCCAATAGTGCAACTTTTAAATAATCCCATTTCTCTTGGACCTATATTTAAATTGCTCCAGTCTGATAATGACTCCTCTACCCATATTCTAATTTTAGAAAAGTCTGTTTTTCTAAAGTCTAAAACTTTTGTTTTTGTGTGGTGTTGATGTAGATTCATTTAGAAATAAACAAAAATGTTTAAAAGTCTATCTGTTCCTGTCCAAATCTGAGATGAATAAATTGCGTATACGCAGAAGTAAGTTCACACTGACACATGCAGTTCAGGTTAAAAACACTTCAGGAAATTTATTAGCATCTAGTTAAAAAGTGGGCACGCAGGCCTTTTTATATGCAAAATGACATCATCATTGAATATCAGATAATAACAAATAAACATCATTAATTGGGTTAAATGTTAAGTGGCTATGTCAGTGTCCACCCATTAATATTATTAATTGGTTCAGAGATTTGAGTGACTAGTGAGGCACCCTCCCATCATGGGATGTCGTCGCCATTGCTCTTTAGCACGAGGCTTACTCGGTGGAAAGGGGGGCTTGGGCGTCATTTTACGTGGTTAGTGATGTCAGTCTCGTGGTCTGTTCCAAGGTTCTTTTATGAATAGAACATTTCATTTTGTCACTGTTCTCCTGGCCTTGGATTATACTATGTTGCAAGTCAACGGAGATCCGCTAACCCCGGGGCTAGTTATGTCCTTAGAGAGAGAGAATACAATCTCTTATTCATTATACTGAATACTGTCAGGAAATTCTGTCATGTAAGGTGAACAAAATGGAGTTAGTACAATAATTCAATACAGGTTCTAATAAAGATTTTAATAATTCTACATCAACATTATAGGTGGAATTCAGAGCCCTATATATAATATACATAATGCATTATAGGTGGAATTCAGAGCACTATATATAATATACATAATACATTATAGGTGGAATTCAGAGCCCTATATATAATATACATAATGCATTATAGGTGGAATTCAGAGTCCTATATATAATATACATAATGCATTATACGTGGAATTCAGAGCCCTATATATAATATACATAATGCATTATATGTGGAATTCAGAGCCCTATATATAATATACATAATGTATTATAGGTGGAATTCAGAGCCCTATATATAACATACATAATGCATTATAGGTGGAATTCAGAGCCCTATATATAATATACATAGTGCATTATACATGGAATTCAGTGATCTATATATAATATACATAATGCATTATATGTGGAATTCAGAGCCCTATATATAATATACATAGTGCATTATACATGGAATTCAGTGATCTATATATAATATACATAATGCATTATATGTGGAATTCAGAGCCCTATATATAATATACATAATACATTGTAAGTGGAATTCAGAGCTCTATATATAATATACATAATGCATTATATGTGGAATTCAGAGCCCTATATATCATATACATAATACACTATACGTGGAATTCAGTGCTCTATATATAATATACATAATGCATTATATGTGGAATTCAGAGCCCTATATGTAATATTCATAATGCATTATATGTGGAATTCAGTGCTCTATACATAATATACATACTACATTATAGGTGGAATTCAGAGCCCTATACATAATATACATAATGCATTATAGGTGGAATTCAGAGCCCTATACATAATATACATAATGCATTATAGGTGGAATTCAGAGCCCTATACATAATATACATAATGCATTATAGGTGGAATTCAGTGCTCTATATATAATATACATAATGTATTATAGGTGGAATTCAGAGCTCTATATATAATATACATAACGCATTATACGTGGAATTCAGAGCCCTATATATAATATTCATAAGGCATTATACGTGGAATTCAGAGCCCTATATATAATATTCATAAGGCATTATACGTGGAATTCAGTGCTCTATATATAATATACATAATGCATTATAGGTGGAATTCAGAGCTCTATATATAATATACATAATGCATTATACGTGAAATTCAGAGCTCTATATAAAATATACATAATGCATTATATGTGGAATTCAGAGCCCTATATATAATATACATAATACATTGTAAGTGGAATTCAGAGCTCTATATATAATATACATAATACACTATACGTGGAATTCAGAGCCCTATATATCATATACATAATACACTATACGTGGAATTCAGTGCTCTATATATCATATACATGATACATTATAGGTGAAATTCAGTGCTCTATATATAATATACATAATGCATTATAGGTGAAATTCAGAGCCCTATATATAATATACATAATGCATTATAGGTGGAATTCAGAGCCCTATATATAATATACATAAGGCATTATAGGTGGAATTCAGAGCCCTATATATAATATACATAAGGCATTATATGTGGAATTCAGAGCTCTATAGAAAATATACATAAGGCATTATAGGTGGAATTCAGAGCTCTATAGAAAATATACATAATGCATTATAGGTGGAATTCAGAGCCCTATATATAATATACATAATACATTATATGTGGAATTCAGAGCTCTATATATAATATACATAATGCATTATATGTGGAATTCAGAGCCCTATATATAATATACATAATACATTGTAAGTGGAATTCAGAGCTCTATATATAATATACATAATGCATTATACGTGAAATTCAGAGCTCTATATAAAATATACATAATACATTATATGTGGAATTCAGAGCCCTATATATAATATACATAATGCATTATAGGTGGAATTCAGAGCCCATATATAATATACATAATGCATTATATGTGGAATTCAGAGCCCTATATATAATATACATAATGCATTATATGTGGAATTCAGAGCCCTATATGTAATATACATAATGCATTATATGTGGAATTCAGTGCTCTATACATAATATACATACTACATTATAGGTGGAATTCAGAGCCCTATACATAATATACATAATGCATTATAGGTGGAATTCAGAGCCCTATACATAATATACATAATGCATTATAGGTGGAATTCAGAGCCCTATACATAATATACATAATGCATTATAGGTGGAATTCAGTGCTCTATATATAATATACATAATGTATTATAGGTGGAATTCAGAGCTCTATATATAATATACATAACGCATTATACGTGGAATTCAGAGCCCTATATATAATATTCATAAGGCATTATACGTGGAATTCAGAGCCCTATATATAATATTCATAAGGCATTATACGTGGAATTCAGTGCTCTATATATAATATACATAATGCATTATAGGTGGAATTCAGAGCTCTATATATAATATACATAATACATTATACGTGAAATTCAGAGCTCTATATAAAATATACATAATGCAATATAAGTGGAATTCAGAGCTCCATATATAATATACATAATACATTGTAAGTGGAATTCAGAGCTCTATATATAATATACATAATGCATTATATGTGGAATTCAGAGCCCTATATATCATATACATAATACACTATACGTGGAATTCAGTGCTCTATATATCATATACATGATACATTATAGGTGAAATTCAGTGCTCTATATATAATATACATAATGCATTATAGGTGAAATTCAGAGCCCTATATATAATATACATAATGCATTATAGGTGGAATTCAGAGCCCTATATATAATATACATAAGGCATTATAGGTGGAATTCAGAGCCCTATATATAATATACATAAGGCATTATATGTGGAATTCAGAGCTCTATAGAAAATATACATAAGGCATTATAGGTGGAATTCAGAGCTCTATAGAAAATATACATAATGCATTATAGGTGGAATTCAGAGCCCTATATATAATATACATAATACATTATATGTGGAATTCAGAGCTCTATATATAATATACATAATGCATTATATGTGGAATTCAGAGCCCTATATATAACATACATAATACATTGTAAGTGGAATTCAGAGCTCTATATATAATATACATAATGCATTATATGTGGAATTCAGAGCCCTATATATAATATACATAATACACTATACGTGGAATTCAGTGCTCTATATATCATATACATAATACATTATAGGTGAAATTCAGTGCTCTAGATATAATATACATAATGCATTATAGGTGAAATTCAGAGCCCTATATATAATATACATAATGCATTATATGTGGAATTCAGAGCCCTATATATAATATACATAATACATTATAGGTGGAATTCAGAGCTCTATATATAATATACATAATGCATTATAGGTGGAATTCAGTGCCCTATATATAATATACATAATGCATTATATGTGGAATTCAGAGCCCTATATATAATATACAGAATACATTATATGTGGAATTCAGAGCCCTATATTTAATATACATACTGCATTATAGGTGGAATTCAGAGCCCTATATATAATATACATACTGCATTATAGGTGGAATTCAGAGCTCTATATATAATATACATAACGCATTATACGTGGAATTCAGTGCTCTATATATAATATACATAAGGCATTATAATGCGGAATTCAGTGCCTATATATAATATACCCAATGCATTATAGGTGGAATTCAGAGACCCATATATAATATACATAATGCATTACAGGTGGAATTCAGGAGACCTATATATAACATACACATAATACATTATATGTGGAATCCAGAGCCCTATATATAATATGCCTACACTGCATTATAGGTGGAATTCAGAGCCCCATATATAATATACATAACGCGATTATATGTGGAATTCAGAGCCCCATATATAATATACATAATGCATTATATGTGGAATCACAGCCCCTATATATAAATATATACATAATACATTATATGTGGAATTCAGAGCCCCTATATATTATATACATAATGCATTATATGTGGAATTCAGAGCCCTATATATAATATACATAATACATTATATGTGGAATTCAGAGCTCTATATATAATATACATAATGCATTATAGGTGGAATTCAGAGCCCTATATATAATATACATAATGCATTATAGGTGGAATTCAGAGCCCTATATATAAAATACATAATGCATTATAGGTGGAATTCAGAGCCCTATACATAATATACATAATGCATTATAGGTGGAATTATTCAAATAATCAAACAATTGATTTGATCCATAACACTATATATAATATACATAATACATTATAGGTGGAATTCAGAGCCCTATATATAATATACATAATACATTATATGTGGAATTCAGAGCCCTATATATAATATACATAATACATTATATGTGGAATTCAGAGCCCTATATATAATATACATAATGCATTATAGGTGGAATTCAGAGCCCTATATATAATATACATAATACATTATAGGTAGAATTCAGAGCCCTATATATAATATACATAATGCATTATAGGTGGAATTCAGAGCCCTATATATAACATACATAATACATTATAGGTGGAATTTAGAGCCCTATATATAATATACATAATGCATTATAGGTGGAATTCAGTGCTCTATATATAACATACATATTGCATTAAAAGTGGAATTCAGAGGCCT